TCATAGCGACCCTGTACAGGGTTTCCAAGGCTGTAAATCTTTACAGGAGCAGAAAGCCTCATCTTTCTCCCGTGGAACAGCTGGTAGTTTTGAACAGCTGACCTTGCAGTTCGCAGTCCTGATTCTTAAGCACTATGCTACCAGAGCCCCTTGTATGGACAGTGGGTGATGCTAATTAACATTCTTTACTTACAAACTGGAGTCCTGGTGTGGTGCTGTAGGATAAGAACTTGGCCACAAGGTTGATATGAACTGCAAGGCTGGTAGCTCAAACTCACCAGTCACTCCTCAGAAACGCTATTCAGGGTCGCTATGAGTCACAACTGACTCGAGGGCACTTAATAACAACTTGCAAAGTGGAGTTTCAAGGGGGAGAGGGAGTTGAATATGTAAAAAAAAAAAAAGATTTCCTCTGAACATATATGCACTAGAACAATCACTGATGAGCTGATTTCTTACACAACTAAAAGGTCAACATTCTGAGGAACAAATTTCTTTTGGATGGTTCCGGAAGTGCCAAAAAGGGCCCTGGTGGCACAATGGTTCATTGCTTGGCTGCTAACTGAAAGGTTGCAGTTTGAGTGCACCCATAGCACAGCACAAGGGATAGACCTGACAATCTGCTACCTTCAAATTACAGCCTGGGAAACCCTAAGGGGCATTTCTGGTCTGCCCTGAAGGACCACTATGAGTCCTAATCAACTCAACAGCACAAAACAACAAGACACAAGTAAAAAAAAAACACACAAAAAAACCAGATAACAAAATTGTTAGAATCTCAAGAAAAATCCTTGAAGAAGTTTTTTAAATCACTAGGCTTTCTGCAAAGATTTACAGCCTCCGAAACCCTATACACGGTTGCTATGAGTCAGAACCGACTTGATGGCACTTAAGAACAACAATGATCTCAGTGCCTTTTTGGGAAATTTTTCTCTCTTAAAAATGGAATGCAAAATAAAAGCATCCATCTAGTAGAGTTTCAACTGCAGTTATTAGGTAGTGATTAACTAAAGTTATATTAACTTCCTTTAATTATTCCTTTAATCTTGATTGCTTAGAAATAAGATTGGTAGTGGTGGTTACGTATGACCCCACGTAGGGTTTCTTAGGCTGTAAATCTTTGCAGAAAGTCATGTGATTTAAAAATGTGAAGATGAGCAGAAAGCCTCATTTATCTCCCAAGGAGCGCCTAGTAGATTCTAACTACCGACCTTGCAATTAGCAGCCCATCTCGTAACCCACTATGTTTCCAGGGCTTCTTAAAAGTAAGATAAGTGTCAGCTATTATTGAGAGACAATTATGTGTAAGGTAATGTGATATCTATATATAAATAGGTACCTTATTTAATCCTTATCAGAATCCTATGAAATAGTATGCTCATTTCACACATGAGAAAACTGAAGCTCAGATTGTTGTTAAGTGCCACCGAGTAGCTTCCGACTCATAACGTCCTGTATAAGGTTTCCAAGGATCGGCTGGTGGGTTTGAACCACCAACCTTGTGGTTAGCAGTCCAGTGCTTATCCTAGAGTGCCACACCAGGACTCTGAAGCTCAGATTAGGAACTTGCATTAAGTTTAACCTCATAGTTCGGAAACTGTCCACTTTGAAAGCCCATGGTCTAAACCTTGATACAGCACTGCCTCTCTTCTAACATTCTAAGATTTTGTGAGAAACCACATGAATACCCTTCACAATGTTAGCACAGAGTTCCAAAATCAAATCCATGTTGGGCAGGTAGGAGATGGTTTCAGAAACAATGAGAGGCAGGACTGTGGTTCACTGGAGAGCCCAGCATTTTATCTAAAGGGCTACCCAGATGCAGTTAACAATAATGGTCAAACAGGCACCAATGTTAGCAAATGTTACCAAATATTTTGACATTTTTAGAGAAGATGCAAAGCTCAATTTTTACGAGAGCTGTCCTTTTTTAAATACTGGCAACAAACTCAGATTTAAAAAATAAACACTGTGCAGGCCAAACAAAACACATCTGAAGGCTGAACGTGACCACCAGTTTGTACTATTTGAGAGATTCTGATGAGTTCTGAGAAATTCAAGACTAAACCTTCTGGTGCCAAATGATTTGCCAGTTATCCTGTTGGATTCATTTCACACACCTAGGCTTCATCTACAATAGCCCTACTGGCACACTGGTTAAAGTGTTCAGCAGCTAACCGAAAAGTCAGCTGTTCGAACCTACCAGCTGCTCTGCAGGAGAAAGATTGGCACTCTGCTTTTGTAAATATTGACAGCCTTGGAAATCCTATGGGACAGCTGTATTCTGTCCTATATGGTCACTATGAGCTGGATTCAACTTGACATTGTGGATTTCAGCTGCTATCTCCAGCTTAACTCACATGTGGTAAGACTGGTCTGGGTATACAAAGGATCAACAACAAATCACTTCCCAAACCAGTCCCCTCGTCTCTTGCATACTCATTCTCTGTCTCTCTTTCTCTGTAACTCACACACACAGTACACTCTCTGTCATCTCAAGTGTGAAGCTTTCAGGTTTGGCCTTTCTACATCTTGTTTGTTATCAAGTGTTTAGCCCTCCTGTGAACTACCTGATACAGTTCTTCAGTGTGTTTTTTACAACTCCTGGGTCAGATCTTGGTCTTAGTTTCATAGTTTCCCTAAGGCTCTCTGTGCTTGTCAGAAATCTGTCATTCTGTTCTAAATGGCTGCACGCACATTGCTGGGATTCAAGGGGAAAGTCCTTTCCAATCAGAGTCGTAATACACGTCCTAAGGACACCAAGACGGCGGCAGGCCTCTCACCAATCTTCTCCTAGAAACTGAATGTGGCGCTGTATGATAAGCACTAAACTATAAGTTCCGTTTGATCCTCAAGGTTGGCAGTTCAAATTCACCAGTAGCTCCTTGGAAAACCTATACAGAATTGCTCTGAGTTGGAGCTGGCACTTAACAACAACACCAATTATAATTTTAAACATTCTGGACCCAGAGACCATTCAAAAGGTTGATTTAAAAAATACAAAAGTTGCATCAGTTACATTTACCTTACAATTCCTATGACAAGAACAACTATTTCCCACACTGATTTAAAACCCATACTTAAATACCCAATTGGCAAAAGCTGGAAGAACTTGCAGTAGCCTGAAATTCTCTTATTATGGGATAGAACTTGGTCTTGTAACGTTAAGGGCTGATGTTTATCTTAGTCATTCTTTCTTCTTTCTCTGTCTACGTTTCTTTGCTTGCTTATTTTTTTTTTTTTAATTTATTTTTGGAGGCAATATACACAACCAATACATCCAGTCACAATTTCTTCCTGAACAGCTCCAGAATTCGATAATATTGGTTATACATTTACACTGTGTCACCCACTCTTCTTACTGTCTCTACCCATACTACTTCCTCACCATTCATTTAGGCTCTCTGCCCTTGAAAGTTCTCATCGCTGCTTTACATGAACTTGTCAGTCAGTTGAAGCACTCAAAGAACATGCTTCATCAGAGCACTCACTACTTCGGTGTTTCCAGTGTCCACGTTTCTTAATCCGACTTGAGTTCCAACTAACTTTTCACAGCAGGAAACCCAAAAAGCTTTAAGCTGAAATTCAAGGTTTATTCTCAACTGTCAGAGTCATCTGTAAAAGACATACTACCAGTCTTAAGAGTTTTTCTCTGTTATAAAAGTCTATAATCCTATCAAAACCTAAACAAAGGAGGTCTTAAAGGAGCACTCAGCATGTAGGAATTTTAAGTGGAGCCCCTGTTTAGTTTAAGTATCTAATTTGAGGGCTACCTACAAACTTTGAAAATCTCCTTTAGAGTTCCATGAAAAAAAAAAGCCAAAGAAAAGTAGCGCCATCTTTCCATTGGTACTCTCTATTCACCTCAAATGTGAATGAGCAGTTGTTTGCATTTCATATCCTTGCTAAATATGCAGTCATTATAAACAATTCTTTTCTTCCCGTCCCGGTAGATCCAATCACATGAAGGGGAAGCAATGGTAGATTTGAGGCTGTGGTAGACATAAAAACCTCGTTCTCCTCTCTAGGTCACTTGGATACTTATTCACCTGCTGAAATGCCTTAAAACCTTAATGAATAGACCAGCCAACGAGGTTTTCCTATCTTTTACTAAATTCTTGCTTAATGAAAAGATCAAAGTGGACACCACTCCATGTGTTTAACCCAAGAGCTGCACACAGAGGGCAACCAACGTAAGATGTGTATAAAAGCACTTTTACTTACAATTCCTCTCCTTGTTTAGCTTTCCTGTCAGAAACCAGATAGACAGTCCCAAAACTTCCACTGCCAAGTTTCTGGTGAAGCACATATCTTCCTGCCATCAAGGTCCTCGGATAAGTGGGCACTGCTGCTGGTACACTCACAAACTTAGCAGTCTCTTGGAATTTCAGCATTGCTTCAAATAAGAGAGAAATGGTTTATTCATTTATAAAGACTTAACATTCAGTTCGCCTGAGAGATGATCTGGAGCCCTGCTAGCACTGGACGATAAGCACTGGACTGCTAACTTGCAAGGTCAGCAGTTCACACCCAACAGCCACTCCGGAGAAAGTTGAGGTTTTCTGCTCCCATAAACATTTACAGCCTCATAAACTCTATTCAGGGTCACTGTAAGTAGGAACTGACTGGATGGTACCTGACAACAAGAGATGGTCAAATTCACCCTAACATTCACCCAGGAATTCTGAGATTAATGCCTTGAAGGTAAAAAGTCAAGAAATCAGATCTAATGGATGCCGAGCTATTACTAACACAAAGTGCAGGTTGTTGGCAGTGATACCTGTAGTTAAATTCGCATATTAAATGACAACATACTGGCTAAGTTTAACAAGTTTAGAGGAAAATGTTAAGAGGTAGGGTGATACTGTAGACTTCCAATAGAAGGCAGTCTTTCCCAGGCAGAAAAGCCTTCCCTTGTACATCAGAATCTGGCAAAACTAAATTACAGCCAACTTTTCACATAGTTCTGAGATGTACCTGCTTTACAATCAGTGATGTGTTTAATGGGGATCCCCGTGGCTCTGTAGCATAATCACTGGACTGAAAACCACAATGTCAGTGGTTTGAGCCCAAGCAGCTCAGTGAGAGAAAGATGAGGCTTTCTGTTCCTACAAAGACTTACAGCCTAGAAAACTCTATACAGGATCAGAACCGACTCAATGGAACAATAACAATAATCTAATATTTATACTCCCGACCTACTTAGAAAAATCCAAATGCAAAATTATTATCAGTTCCTTAAATCTATACATTTTCAATGAACTTTGTTTGTTATACTCTCATTCCATTTTATGTTTTGATTCACAAATAGTGAGTTAGGATCAAACCTGAAATTAGCATAATGCTGGCTCCTTTTGTGTGTGTGTGTTTATAGATTTTAAACTATGGCTTTTGCATTGATTAGAATAGCTGTGAGAAAGGAAAAGGAATCAGAGTGATTTTTTCCTGTACTAAGCAAATTCTGGTGTGGCACTGTAGGATCAGCACTGGCCTGTGAAACACAAGGTCAGTGGTTCAAACCCATCAACTGCTCCTCAGAAAACTACACAGGGTCATTATGAGTCAGAACCGATTTGATGGCACTGAACAACAACAAAGTCAATTCTGATTCTGTTTTTTGAAGTATCTATTTTACATACTATGTATAATCTTCCTGGATTAGAAACAATACATTTCCCAAGTGGTTTGAACCCAAAATTGCATTGTTATGCTAAGTGAACATAAATGTAAACTATGTAAGTCTGTAATTCCTCAAAAAAGTGTAAAATGCAGTGCAGAGTGTGGAACCCAGAACTATTGCACATGAGTATAAGCACAGTAGAATCACTTTTATTTCATCAAGATATAAATTGACTTGATACTAATCATGAACATCAGGTTTGTATATTGCATCTATATGAAAACCTGATTTTAAGTTGAAGACTGCCTATACCCTGGATTCAAGTTTCCATACTCAATAATTTCAAAGCTGTAAGACAAAAACATATGGCTTATGACAATAAAACAAGGTGTCATCTATGTATTGGCTTCACATGGTGGTGGCAAGTGACCAAAAAACCTCCAGGAAGGGTGAAAATAATCCTCAAAGTAGAATACAAACAAGTAAACAGGGTTTTCCTTCTTGAAGTAATATACTTTATCAGTTACATTGTACCAGATGTCAATAGATTAATACCCAGCTTTATTGTTTTTTTAAAAGAAGAAACCAAATCACCTGTGTGACAGAGTTCATGACAATACTACAACATTGGTATTGGCTTGGCACTTCAGAGTTGGGCTTATACCTAAAAAGACCAGAAAAATTAAAAAAAAATATTTGCCACTGTGAAGATCGCAGAAAATAAAATGTTGGTGAAATTTTCTACAAAACGACTGAGCAGGTCTCCAAATGCGTCTTTTGTCTCGCTTCCTTCGCTTGCATAAAAGTGACGCATTCTGATCAAATTAATCTACTCAGTAAAGTGAATGGACTCATAGCTTTTTCCATCCACAAGGACGCTTAAACTCACTCAGCAATTTTCCCTATGCCAGAGATTAGAGCAAGGTTCCTACTTAAGGAAAGGCAGAATGAGAGTAGCCAACTCAGCTTTCCTAAGAAGTTCCAGTTTCCCAGGGGCTACAAAGAGCTCTGGTAGCGTAGTGGTTACGAATCGGGCTGCGAACTTTAAGGTCAGCGGTTCGAATCTACCAGCTGCTCTGCGGGAGAAAAATCCGTAAGGATTTACACCCCTTGGAAACCCTATACAGGGTCGCTATGGGTCGGAACCGACTCGACGGAACTTAACAATTGTTGATTTAAAATGTCTGCTGGGTTAGACACTGTGAGTCACTCATTGCACTTAACAACAATTTACATCAGCAGGGCCTGGGTACCAGAAGCACACCTTCTCTATACTTGTTTCCCTAGTGCCTGGCATCATGCCAGGTAAACAGGAGGTGTTCATCAAACTTTGTTAGCATAAAGAAGTATTCATTAGACTAATCACCATCAAGAAAAAAAGTTAAGGAAACTGGATGGGTTCCTCTAGAAAGCAGCAGAGATTACTGCTTTAAGCAAACTGACCCCTTGAAGGTGAAGCTGGCTTGTCTGGGGCAAAAGAGAGGAAAAGGGAGTTTTCATCACAGTTTGAAAAGAAAAATATCGAATTGCTCTCTTCCCGATATTAATAAACGAGAGGAAGATTTGAGGCCGGATTATATTGAAGTAGAAATCTGACCTTAAAAGAAAACTACATTAAAGTAAAGCGAACAATTCCTTGCCTACCCAACATTTCCCCCCACCTCAAATTTACATTTTCACAAAGTGGATTAACGTAAAGTGGATTAACGTATATCGAGGGGCACCAGAATACTCCCCGACCCTAGAAATGAGCCCTGGTCGTGCCCTGGGTAATGAGTTGGGCTGCTAACTACAAGGTTGGCAGTTCAAACCCGCCAACCGCTTCCAGAAGAAAGATGAGGGTGTCTGCTTCCGTAAAGATTCCGTCTTAGATACTCTATAGAGCAGTTCTATCCTGTCCTAGATGAATCGGAATCAACTTGAAAGCAGTGAGTTTGTATTTTTGAGTTTCAAGCCAGATTTGGGAAGTAAGGAAGCTTCGGATGGAAGCCCAGAGATGTAAAGCGAAGCGGTCACTTGGCCCCAAGGGGCGCCGTTCGAATTACCTTTTCCCGTCCTGGGTGGAGGAGCGGTGGTCCCGTGGGTCTGCCTATTGCCTCAACCTCAACACAGGGACAGCAGCACTAGACAAGCTCAGGAACCATCATCGGCCACGACTGTTTAGCGTCGTCGTCAAGGAAACAACGTGGTGCATGTTGGGAAGTCGGGGCAACGAGTACCCGAACCGGTTACTGAGGCGGAAGTGGCCGCAGAGCCAAGTGGGCGGGAGAAAAGAGCTGCAGCCATTTTGGGGAGTACTCCGCTGCATTCCTTAATGGTCTTTACCTCCAAGCCTGAAAGCACCTTCCTTGCTAATGCATCCTGATGCTAAGGGCTTCACTGCTCCTACAGAACCGGGCTTCCCAGTGACGTCATGCGCAGAGACTTCCGGTTCCCGCCTTTGGGGCTGGATTCTCTCGTGTTGGGCATCTAGTCCTCGCTTGGTTCCTTCCGGCCCCTGATGGAGGAATTGTTTCTCTGCGAGGACGGAGTAGGTGGGATCTGCTTCTGGATTGGTGGCGGGCTGTGAAGGTTGGGGTAGTGCTGCGTTGAGTAACTGTTTTTGAGTATTTGGATTTTAGCGTAGGAGGGAAGCTACAAAAGGTTCCTGGAAAAATTCCATTATCTTTTCATTCCATTTGCCCGCGAACTTTTCGAAGCCCTCTACTGTATGTATCCATTTTGAACACCTCTGTGCTAAGTGCTCTAGTTGGCTGAGATGCATGGACACAGTCAGCTTGCAAAACAGACTTGTAAAGAAGACACAGGATTAGAAACTGAATTAGAGAAAGTACTGGGTAGAGGGTAAGGTGATTTGGGTACAAAATGTAGTAAGAGGATGGAGTATTTTTAAAAATAAAAATAAAAAATTCATAATTGTCAAATACTGTGGTTTTTAATAAGTACAATGTCAGTATTGCTTTGCTGATCCGAATTAGAGACAAAAGGAATACATTTGACCTGTGCTTCTTGGTTCCCTTTGAGTTAAGAGGGAGCAACGTGCAATATACATTAAATTATCTAGAGATAAAATATGCAGGCGGATGTGTCAGTGTCAAGGTTGAATTTTCATCCCTGGAATGGTGTTACCCTCCTCCAAAGAATTGGGTCTGTTTGAACCGCAAGGCCGGTGATTCAAGCTCACCAGCTGCTCCTCAGAAACCCTATACAGGGTCGCTATGGGTCGGAACCGAGTCACAGCACTTAACAACAAGAACAATAAGAAGAAAGACAAGAAGCTTAGGGAAATGAAAGAAAGGTTTAGTATAAGCATAGATGTTTTTACAAAGCGAGGTAAGAACTTTGTGAAACTAGAGGAACTGGAGCCCGGAATAACATACGGCTTCTTTATATGTCCTTTTGTCAGCGGAGTGGTCTCTAATGGTTTGAGTGCCCAGGTAACCAATCCAGTGAATCGGTTCATATATGCTTTCCTTGAGTCTTGTCTTTTATTAACTTAATTTCCTTTCGCAAATAGTTTCTTCTCTCCCACTCCTTAATAAATTTCATTTCATCTTGCAAACAGTCTCTTCTTGCTGCCACCCCTCTTTTTCAGAAATTCCTCACTGTTGAGGTAGGCTTGTTTTGTGCTGAGAACAGGCGTACTTAAAGCGACTTGAAACCTCTGTCTTTCCCTATTGTAAATGGAGTCCTGGTGTGGCCCTGTGGGTTCATGCGCTGGACTGCAAAGTTGATTTGAACCACAGAGTTGGTGGTTCAAGCTTACCAGCTGCTTCTTGGAAACCTTATACAGGGTCACTATGGGTCGGAACCGACTCCACAGCACTTTACAGCAGCAGCAGCTAGTTAATAGCAGTTGTAAATACTGTTCTATTTTATATAAGAGACTTGAGCATCCATGGATTTTGATATCCAGGTGGAGCCTGGACCCACTCCTCTATAGATACTGAGGGAGGAATGTAAATAGTGATATACTGATCCTGAGTAATTCCCTATGTGGTGCAAATGTTCTCTGCCCTTGTCTATTAACCAGAACAGTGTGGTAAACTTGGAATTATAGTCCACCCAAAAGCACCTCAGAAGAAAGTCCATGACAATCAACTTCTGAAACATCAGTTTATAGAGAGCACAGTTCTACTCTGACACACATAGGGTCACCATGAGTCAAAAGTGAAATGGTTGAATGGGTGAATTGTGTGAATGAAGTTGGCCACATGCAGAAGGGAGTAAGGGTTTTGCAAGTAACTGGGCCAGATCAGCAAAGAGCCTCTCCTTGGGTGAAACTAGAAAGTTGAGTTCTTGGAGGCATGGAGCATTAGTTTTCATTACCAAACATGATGCCAATTTAAAAAAGGCCCAGAAATCCAAGGGCCTGAAGTTCTCAGACTGCTTTTCAATAACAAAAAAAAAACTGGATCCATAACACAAGCTATATATATATATATAATACATACGTTAACTGAGGCCTAACACAGTCTGATTTACTTGAGATAGATAAGGCTTTATTTTTATAGTCTGTGACTTTTTTTTTTTAAAGCTTTTTATTATGAATTGGATGAAGGCTTACAGACAAGATCATCACCTCTACAGTCAGCAAACTACATCTCCTTTCATCTCAATGATTACTATCCCCTCCCTACAACATTTATCTTACTTCCTCCCTGTGGCTCCCCATTCACAGCTTATATTTCGCAAATGAACAAGGCAAAAACATATGTATTCTTATACCACAAAAAATATATTCATTTAAATGTCCTAAGGGCACATCCTGCCAGCTAGCCTCCTGCCCACAGGCCCATAGCCATGTTCTCTGGTGTCTAGGACTTTGTATTTTGACCCCACAAAACAAATAGTCTATATTTAAAGATCTGCCTGCTGTATCTCAGTATCAAAACCAAGGCCATGGCAGCAGTAGTCTGGTGTGTCATTGTTGTTGTGAAGTGCTGTCGAGTCGGTTCCGACCCATAGCGACCCTATATAGGGTTTCTGAGGAGCAGCTGGTGAGCTTGAACTACCGACCTTGCCGTTCAAACAACTTTGCAGTCTGGCGCATTAACCCACAGCGCCACACACTTTAACTTGTATTCTTTTTGATTCTTTCAGCAGCTTCCATGCTTCAAGAATTAAAGTCATGAAAACATTGGGTGTGTGCCTTATAACACACGAGAAAAGCAAAAGAATGAAGAAGTGCTCAACCCACTTGTCTTACCTGAGAATCTAGGTAAGAATTCTGATGCACTGACACTTAATACGTTCTTTCTGGAGAGCGCTTCATAGCAAGGCTTCCAATGGTTCAGTCATGGCCAGTGAAGTAAAACTGGTATAGAGCTGAATTCTTAGAATCTGTGTAATCTAGAATAACTGGACCAGGAAAAATGATGGTTTGAAGGTCTGAAATGAGACTCGGAAGAGGTGTAGTAAGCCTTTTCACAATTCTGATGTGTGAGATTAGATTCTTGGCAGGACTGTGGAGAACTACCCACATTCAGAGTGGTGCAGTCACCTGCCATTTAGGGGCTGGGTGCGGCTGTTTCCAGCTCTTGCTCAAAATCCAAAAGGCAAGGAGAGGCTTGATGGCGACTAGGGTGGAGGTGCAGTGCAGTTCGCCGTCAGCAATCCCACAGAATACCAGGCAAAGCAGATCCTGGACAGAGCTCCAAAACTCGGAACCACGGAGATAAGAATACTTTGAAGGTTTGAAGGCCTACAGATTGTGGAACTTGAAGCTGAAGTAAAAAATTGCGTGCTTTTGAATCTGCTGGGCTGGGCTCGAAGGTCCAGAGCTGACATATTGGGCGAGACCAAACGACAAGACAAACGGGAGAGCAGAAACACCACGGAAAAACGCTGCGGGAACCCTGGAGCAAAGGTGGGCTTTGTCAGTTTTGCAGTTTTGCTTTGTTCTGATTTTCTTCTTCTTTTTTATTTTTTTATTTTTTATTTTGGTGCCTGGTTATAAGCACGTCCACTGTTTGCCCACCTCCGTTCTGGTGACTAGAGGAGGAGCCTGAGCGAGTGAACACCCCCCACCCTCACCACTGGTGGGTTCTTCTGCCATGCATGCGCACAGGTACTCAGTCCAAGAGTAGGCCCTGAAGGGAGAGGGAAACGGAAAAACAAAGCAGATGGGAGAACAATTAGGCAGGTTTGAATGGGCTAAGTGAGACAGAGGTAAAGAATGATGTTTGCACAACCTTGGAACAACAGGGTTCTGAGATACAGAGATTGAGACAGAGTTGGAATGGGGAAAGGGGGAGAATAATGTTAAGGTGCTTGGCTGTCTTTTAAATCTTGGTTTTTCTTGCATTATATTATAAAATAGACACTGGAAGGGGAGAGAAAGGAATAGCCAGAAACATCACCGTAGAAAGCTTGTAAGTCCGTCTTCTGCCTATAACTGATTGGAATACCTAAAATGGGCTACAACGTGCCTAGTGAAGGAGGCTTCCTGTGGAGCCTCTGCATTAAGACTATAGGTGGAAGCCTGAACCACATCCAGGTCTTCAGAGATGGGAAATTTCCACTTGAAAAGATTAGCGGACCAGCCTGGAGTGGCTAAAAGAATAGAAGATGCCTCTTGAAAGCAAGACCTACAGGAAAAATACAAAACAATAGAGGCAGACTGACTGTTACTACAAGAACAAGCAAATTGCTTGCCCAGGAAACATCAAGGCAAGTTGTCGGGTCCCCTTGGTGCAGGCCCCCTTCCAGGACTAAGACTCAATGGGAATACATGCTCTGATTGGTCACTACGTTTGTCGCCAAAAGGGGAAGTGAGGGAGGAGCAGCAATGAGGTGGCTAGCTAAGCCCTACAATGTTCAATAGATTTCTGTGAACCCGGGTGAAGACCTGGTTGGCCAGCAGTGTGGCAAGACCTTGGGACTCCTGGGCCCAGAGTCAGTGACATAGCCACAGAGGACTAGAGTGGAGAGTGAAGCGTCCAGTGGATAAGAAGAGAGGGCATATGCACAAGAACACTCACACTTGCAGATAATATCTACTTGACCTGGCTTCAGAGCTCAACCAGAAGAAGAAAGAAGAGGGAAAAAAGCATAATCTGATACAAGTTGATGAACTTGACCTACACCTATGGATGCAGTAGCTCAAAAGAGGGAACAAATCCTTACAGCAAGGATCATTCCCACCCTCTCCATATATAGAGGATGGGCAACTTGGACATTGGCTACCCAAAATGGGGGGCTACAAAGGCAAGAAGTGACTGGCTTACAAGCTTTCAAGAGGGAAGCTAGATTCATAGGGCATGGAGGAAGGTAGAATCTCCACTGAGTAGTATACAATCTGTCCAGGTGGGGCTGATAAAATGCAATCCAGATGGATCTCTTGTGACACAATAGTGAATAATTGTTATCTGGACTGCTTGTGAGGTTGGAATTATAAAGGTAGACACTTTTTTAGCAAGGAAGGGAGTGGCTAAGTTTTCAGCCTAAAGCGGAGATCCCTGGAACTATCAAGGGAGAAGAGCGGAGAGCGGGACCCTACCCAGAGAAGCAGTGATGCCTGAGATGGAGGCAGAGATGATGACGTGGAGAGTTGGAGCAGTTGGGGACTTTAGACATAGAGAGGGAGAGGGGCTGTGTGCTGATGATGGGGGGAGCATGGTTGTAGTGTATACCCTTTGGATGGTTGATGATGCATGGAGGGGATTGTAACCATAGCAATGAAATGATATACTATAGGATGAATGTAAAACTCATGTTCTCCCGTGTAAACTATCACATAATTCACAATAAAACATTAAAAAAAAAAAAATCGAAAGGGCAAGAGATTGGGTTGCTATGCAGTGCATACATACACAGCCCTTGTTTTCTAAGAGAGAGATTCAGTTTTTAGCAAGGCTTCAACTTCTTATTTTTCCCATCCCAATATTCATTCCAGTTCACCAGCATTCTTAATTCAGGTCTGGAGAAAAAAAAAATAATTATGTTTTAAAATCAAATAATCCAGGTCTGTTCCGGTTTCACTTCCTCCGTTATGACTGAATTGGGAAGAACTGGTTTGAAGTCCTGCTTCATACATAGCATTTGCTGTTGATTTCATGGTGCTGAAACAACCATAATTAGCATCAGTCAGAATGAACAATTGAACGTGTTTACTCTTGTTTTAATCGGGCAGTTCTTCACACACTCATCATGGGTATCCGGGGACTAACAAGTTTTCTGGAAGATCATCATAACGAGTTCTTTATTGACTTGAAGTTGCGGGACACGAAAATGATCATCGATGGCTATGCTCTTTTCTACTGGCTTTCCTTCAAGTCCGAGTTGGAGCTCCGGTATGGAGGGGACTATGATTCTTTTACACATGTTGTAGAAGACTTTTTTGAATCACTGTTTGCATGTAATATATGCCCATATGTTGTGTTAGATGGAGGATGTGACATTTCTGATAAAAAGTTCACAACTTTAAAGGATCGAGCTCAAGACAGGATCCAGCAAGCCCACTCCCTTTCTGTGGGTAGGAATGGGTGTGTGTGTCCCTTACTCACCCGGGAAGTGTTCATACAGGTTTTAATCAAAATGCAAGTCTGTTTTGTCCAGAGCTTTTCAGAAGCAGACCAGGAACTCATGACTCTGGCTAATCATTGGAATTGCCCTGCATTATCCTCAGATAGTGACTTTTGCATCTTTGACCTAAAAGCTGGCTTTTGCCCCTTGAATGGCTTTCAGTGGAAAAATGTGACCACTATTAAAGGCACACAGAACTACTATATTCCGGCCACATGCTTTTCAATTGATGCCTTCTGCCGTCACTTCAACATACGTAAAGATCTACTGCCTCTCTTTGCGGTGCTATGTGGAAATGACTGTGTCAGTCTGCCCAACAAGGAGACATTCTTAAGTAAACTGCATCTTCCTCCTGGAGCTGCCAGTCCTAAGGGGAGGAGACACCACCGAGTTCTGGGACTTCTGTATTGGTTGTCTCAATTTGCTAGCCCTGCTGAAGCACTAGTTAATGTCCTCAAGTATTTCCCAAAAGACAATCAAGAAAATGTTAAGGAGCTTCTCTCTCGTTCCATGGGCGAATACCAACAGTCCCAGGGGAAGCTGCAGGACTTCTTCCAGCATGGTGTGAATGTGTGTCCAGACTCCTTGAATCTGGGCTTACCAGAATGGGTACTAGTGGCTTTGGCCAAAGGCCAGCTATCTCCATTCATCAGTGATGCTCTGATGCTGAGACGGACCTTCCTTCACACACAAGTGGAAAACATGCAGCAACCAAATGCCCACAGAATATCCCAGTCCATCCGGCAAGTCATCTACGGTCTTCTGAATGCTTACCCATGTCTGGAAAACATGCCTGTATCTGTCAGTGAAGTGGAAAGGATTCATAGAAATATCAAAACATCAACTGTTTATGCAGTGAAGTTCCCTAAGGAGCAATCTGATTTAAGCAAATTGACTGAGGTAAGTATAATAACAGTGAAGTTTTTCTAAAGTATTTCACAGGTTATAAAAGAGCTCTGGTAGCATAGTGGTTACAAGTTGGGCTGCTAACCTCTAGATCAGCAGTTCGAAACTACTAGTGGTTCCTTGGGAGAAAAAATGAGGCTTTCTATTCCCATAGATTTACAGCCTCAGAAACCCAATGCAAGTTCGCTATGAGTCAGAACCAACTCCAAGGCACATAATAACCACCACCATCACCAAAGTGCATTCATGTTTATGAAACCAAACTTGCCGTTGATTCAGTTTCAATACAGAGTAGAACTGCCCATAGGGTTTCCAAAGCTGTCATCTTTACAAAAACAGACTATACCCCATCTTTTTTCCCAGGGGGGTGGGCTTGAACTGCTGACCTTTCAGTTAGCAGCCAAGTGTTTTAACCACTGTGCCACCATGGTTCCTTCATGTATATTATCTAGTTTACATAGCAAACTGAAGTGGATTGCTGTATTGCCCCCACTTCATAAATGATCAAGCAGGGAGCTGAATTAACTGCCTTGTCCAATATTATTGCCAGGGTGTCAATGTCGGGACTCAAACCTGGGTCTCTTAGCTCCAGATCCACCATTTCCATGGGAATTCAGTAGCCTGTGTTGTTATCTTCAGTTATCACTACTACCCTGTGGATTTGTTGTTATCAAGTGCCATCAGGTTGGTTCCAACTCCTAGTAACCCCGTATAGGGTTTCCAAGGAGCAGCTGTGGGTTTGAACCACCGACCTCATGATTAGTGGTGCAGTGCTTATCCGACAGTGCCAAGTCGATTGCAGCTCACAGCAACAACATATAGGATTTCAGAGGCTGTAAATCTTTACAGGAGCAGAAAACCTCATCTTGCTCTCATTCATGGAGCTTCTGGTGGGTTTGACCTTGTGGTTAGCAGCCCAACATTTATCTCACAGCACCATTGTGTAACTTAATTAAAAACAGAGTCTAAGATGCAAAAGCTCTGGTAGCGTAGTGGTTACGAATCTGGCTGCGAGCCACAAGGTCAGCAGTTCGAAACTACCAGCTGTTCCATGGGAGAAAGATGAGGCTTTCTACTCCCACGATTTACAGCCTCGGAAACCCTGTACAGGGTCGCTATGAGTCGGAACTGACGCCACAGCACATAACCGCCAAGATGCAAAAAAAAAAAACAACAAAAAAAGTATGCTGATAGCCACCAATGAAACTAACATTTCAGACTGTGTCAGATTTCAGTTAACATAATTAAAGTATGCTAATCAATTAATATAAGTTCTGTTGTAGGGTGTCATTTTTCATTATTTTCTTCAGGCTTTAGGTTTGTGGCATCCTAGTGATTTACTTAGCCTGATAGCTCAGTGTTTCTGAAAGTCAGGCCAATCCCTTTGCCAAGGAAATAAAATTTTCTTGGATCACCCAAGTTGACTTAATTTTTATAATATTACTTAAATATATTTTTAAATGCAAGTAAATGTAAAACTGTTTATGCTAATGATACAAATTTACAAAGCAAATACAGAAGAGCTTACAAAATCCATTGACATGCCTCTCATGGTTTTCTTAGATTCAGATAGATCAGACTCCCCTAGACTACTCTTTTTTTTTTAAGTTTTTATTGTGAGGTTTATATGGGAATACATCCGCTCTACACTTATCCTATCGTATTTCGTTTCATTGCAATAATTACAGTCCCCTCCATGCCTCATCAAATAACCAAAGGGTACACCACACAGGCCCATGCCCCCGGCTGCCAGCACACAGCCCTTCTCCCTTCCCGAGTCCAGTGTCCCCAGCCAGTCCATCTGTCCACACCATCGTCTCTGTCTCCATCCCTGGCGTCACTGCCTTTCTGGGCAGAGTCCCGCTCTCCGTTCTTCTCACTTGGTGGTCCCAGTGATCTCTGCTCCTGGGCTGTAAAATCAATCACTGTCCTCCTTTTGTCAAAAACATCTACCTCTATATTTCTTAGCCTCACAGTCAGACCTGATGGCAATTATTCACTATTGTACCACAAGAGTCTTATCCCATTTCCTTTCGCCAGCCCGGGCCCAACAGATTGGAAATCATTCACTGGTGATTCTACCTTCCCCTGCCCCATCAAGAGGGCTAGGTGCCCTCTTGAAAGCTTGTAAGCCAGTCACTTCTTGCCCTTATTTGTTGTTGTTGTTAAGTGCCATCAAGTCGATTCCAACCCATAGTGACCCTGTGTAGGGTTTCCAAGGAGCAACTGGTGAGCTTGAACCACAAACCTTGCAGTTCAAACGACTTTACAGTCTGACACATTAGCTCACAGCGCCATACCAGAACTTTATAGGTGTCCCCATTTTGGGTAGCCAATGTGTATGTTGCCCATCCCTGTCAACCCTGAGTACCAAGGGGGTGGGAGTGATCCTTGCTGTAAAGATTTTTTCACTTTTTAGAGCTACTCCATCCATAAGTATAGGCAAAGTTCATCAAATTGCAGCAGGTTACTCTTTTTTTTTTTTTTTTCCTCTTCTTTCTTCTTCTAGTCGAGTTCTGATTATTGAAGTCAGGTGAAGTGGGGACTTTCTACAAGTATGGGTGTTCTAGTGCATTTCCCCTCACTTCATATCAGTTGGGCACTTCACTCTCCACTCTAAGTCCTCTGTGGCCATGAAACTGCCTCTGGGCCCATGAGTCCCCGGGTCTTGCCATACTGCTGGCCATCCAGGTCTCCACCCAGGTTCACGGGGGTCTATTGAATGTGGTTGGGCCCAACTTGCAACTTCATTGCTGTTTTTTCCCCCACTTCCCCTCATTGGTGACCAACGTGGTCACCAGCCAGACCACACGCCTTCTCATGTATTCCCCCTGAGTCTCGGTCTTGGAAGGGGGTTTGCTCTGAGGGGTCCTGACCACTTGCCTTGATGGCTCCGGGTGAACAGCTTACCCATTGTTGTAAGAATCAATCAGGCTGCTGTTATTTCAGTGTTTTCCTGCCGGTCCCACACGCCACTCTTGATGGTACCAGTCTACTCACAAGGATCTAGAAGAACAGCCCAGCATCCTTCATTGCATAGGACAGTGCCTAACAGCAAAGAATGAGCTAGCCCAAGGAGTCATTAGTCCCGAGATTGAAGCCCCAGCCTACAGAGCTGCCCAGGAACTAACCTCTTCAGTCTGTTTGTTAGTGGCAGCTCAGACCTGAGGCGATGAGACTGACATCATAGGGCGCTTCTCTGACCCTGGGGAGTGACTGCTAAAGGGGTCCCCATGTTCATTTGGAGTGATGAAAATGTTCTGGATTAGATGGTGGTTTGTGATGGTTGTACAACATTATGAATATAGTAAAAACACCAGAACCCCACACTGAACAGGTGAATTTCAGGTTATGTGAACTGTGTTTCAGAACTGGGGGATAAAAGCTTGATTGACTTAGAAGCCTCATTCCCCACAGGACCAAATCTTCCATGTAACAATTCCATAGCTAAGCTATCGAGGTCCCTCCAAGGAACATGCTTAATTATAGGAGTCACTGTTCAGGAAAGCCCTAAGATACAGTGTTCCCGTCAGATGTTTATTTATATGTAATTCAAGTCTTGATACAATTTTATAAGAGTCATTATTATCATACTTTAGTAAGACAACTCACCATCTAACTTCCATGGGTTTCCAGGGTTACAGAGCTGGTAAGGTAAGCATAGATCAGACTCTCAAACACAAGCATTTTGTTAGCGGTTTACTTGCATGAATGAAATTTTAATTAGCAACATTCTAAAGGGTGTTTTGCTGAAATTAAATTTCTTCTCATAAGTGGTGCTGGGTCATGGCATTGATTTTATTTTGTATAGCTTTATTGAGGACTAATTGATGAACTGGGCACTTTGATGAGCTGTGGTGTACCTATACATCTGTGAGTCTAACCCACAACTAAAATAATTCCCTCGTCCCTCTTTGTAATGTATCCCTTCCTCATTGACATACAGAAAAGTGCACAGGAATTGTGCAGCTCCATGAATTTTCATAAACTGAACACATCCAGCATCAGATGAGGAATCATGACTAGCACCCAGATTTCCTGACTGGCCTGACCCAGCCACCTCTCCCTCCCATTCTAGTCCCACCCTGTTCTGACCTCAGTGTGGTTATACTTCACAAAAATGGAATCAGACAGTGCAAGTCTTTTTTCGTGTTTGGTCTCTTACTTTTGAGACTGATCCATATCTGTGTATTTGTCATTCATTCTCATTGCTGAATTTTACTATATGAGAATGGATCTACCACCATACAGAATAATTTTTCCGTTCTGTAGCTGGTAGGCATTTGGTGGGTAGTTTCCAAGTTTGGGCTTTTGTCAGGGCTCCTATGAACATTCTGGTTGTGATGTTGGTTGGTTATGTGTCGCTGAGTTGGTTCCCTACTCCCAACAGCTCTGTATGGGGTTTCCAAGGCTGTAAAACCTTATGGGAGCAGAAAACTTCATCTTTCTCTTGTGGAGGGACTGATAGATTTGAACTGCTGACCTTGTAGTTAGCAGCTCAGCTTATATTCCACTATACTACCAGGGCTCCTTATGAACATTCTAGTATACATCATTTAGTAAGCATTGGTCACATTTCTATTGCATTTATAAAAGTGAGCTTCTGTATCTATATCTCACCTAGGAGTGAGATTGCTGGGCCGTAGGATGCACTTAGGTTCAGCCTAGAAGAGTTATTGCCAGATGGTAGTGCAAATTGGTTGTAGCAATCAGTATTCTCAGCAGCAGCATAAAAGGGTTTCATGTACTGTACACCCTTTCCAATACTGGAATTTTCTATCCTTAAAGCTTCGCTTTTCTGTTGTGTAGTAGTATCATTTGTTTCCGTGGACATGTAGTGGCTTTAATTTGCATTTCCCAGATGAGTAATTTGAAGACCTTTGCATATGTTCACTGGCTGTTTGGAGACTCTGTTATGACAAGTTTCTGTTCAGTCTTTGCCCATTTTTCTACTGTGTTGTCTTTTTAAAAATTTGTTTAGTTCTTTGTTAAATAGCATGTATTACAAGTAACTTCTCCCATTCTGTGATTTATCGATTCACTCTACAGTATGTTTTGATGAACAGAAGTTCTTAATGGAGTCCAGTTTACATTTTTATTACTTAATAGTTACCATTTTTGTGGTCTATTTAAAAAATGACTGGTGTGGCTTTGTAAGATAAGCACTCAACTGCTAACCACAAAGTCATTTGTCCACACCCACCAGGTGCTCCTCAGAAACTCTATACAGGGTCACTATGAATTGGAATCGATTTGATGGCACTGCAAAGGCACAAAAATGCCTTGCAGTGTTTATTCTGAAACACTTTCACATTTAAATGTATATAGTCTTTGTAGGTTTGATCTTTTCTTGAGTGGTGTGAGGTGCAGTCAGGAAATCAATGTGAATTACACCCCTTACTAAGTAGAGAATCTGCGTATTCTCAGAGTAGCGTGGAACTTTAGTTTGCTCTCTGCTATGATGGCTATTTAGCCTCCCCTTGACATGAACTTACCAGTTCTGTATTTTAGCCCAATGCTGTTGACTCTTAACTAGCCCCTGATAATTCTAAGTGGCACCAGGTGTAAATATGATTCCAAATACAAATGCTGGTACAAGCAAGGATACCTTGTGGATGTATCCAGTCACGATTCAGTGTTTTTTTCTTGACGTGCTTTTGTACTCTGTGCCACTTGATAGGAATTTTATAGCCACTCATTTGATTCCCACAGTAGCCCCCAGGGGTAAGGTCTCATGTGGATTCTGTGGCTGCAGTGGACAGAGCGCCATTGAGTGAGGCAAAGAAAGGGGAGTTTAGTTTTAAGGAGACCTGGAAGTGGATCATTCTTGGAAGTGAGGCAGTGGCCAAGAGCCGTTTCTCAGGGTGCCTGTGGATCTGGCAGCTTCCTCTGTAAGCATGTACCTGTACTCCCCCTAGAGGAAGAGAACGCAATTGCCACACAGATTGATGACCTAAACAGCTTGTCAAAGGTTGTGAGCAGAGGAGTTCCCTTTCTGTTAGTACCTGAAAGAGGACTTCCATTAGAGTTAGAATTTAGCTCCACAATTCAATAAATTAAGCACATTATATGTCAGAAAAGGACTCGTGTATTTTCTTAACCTTTACTTAAGTGTATTTTTCTACCAGTTCAGGAAGATATAAAGACTAATTTTACTTTATTTAAATAGTTAATGATATTTAACTACTTAGGGTTGATTAACTCTTTTGTAAAGTACTTTGTATATTTCTAATTAAAACAAACTTTATCACTATCATTATATTATCAAAACAAGTCTTTGGACCTTCTACTATTTAATGCGCTAGTGCATTGATGAAACCAACCAGTTTGTCAATTTTGACAACACATGTTTTATTTCAGGTTAACATCTCTATTATGAGCTCTTGCCCAAACTTGACACCTAACTAGCTGCTAGGTGTTGAGAAATGTGCCAGCCTGTCTCATCTTTCCAGAAAGTTAACAAGAAGTCCTTTTCTGGCTGTGTGCTGAGACACTAGGAATACAACTATTATTTTTTTCTCTTAAAGTTGAATTGTAAAGTCCTCCTGAAGGTACCTGTTAATAGGCCTTGTTTCTTTATAAGAGTATGTGTGACCTTGTGGTTTTGAAATACTGAAGATTCACTTCATTAAAAATATTTCAACAAGAAGCCTGAATCTGTCATAGGTATCTACTTCATGGCCTTTCTTGTATTTCGAGCACCCTATAAAGCATTACGTAAAGATGAGTGTGGCAGGTAACTGCAAACACAAGGCAGGACATCCTTCATACTCACATGTCCCTTAAATACACCCTTAACCTCTGGGCATCCTGGGGCAAGAGAACACAAAGACAAAAAGAAAAAAACAAACATTCAACCTGGGAAGGACAGGAGGCAGAGCCCAAATACTGGGCTATTTGATGTGCCACAAAGGGTTTGCATAAACTAACAGTTTATCTTCTGGAGGTGAAGAGGAATGGCTTCATGGAGAAAGTGGGTCCTAAGCACTCACTGGCAAGTTAAGGACAGGGTCCAGGAACATAGATCTTCATTTCTCTTAAGAGGACATCTGAGATGCTAAGTAAAATGCAGATTTCTATGTTCCTCTAGACTGAAACAGAATCAGAATTGGGGGCAGGGGTTGAGGTTGTGATTTTTTTTGTCACACTTCCCAGCTTATTTGATGTATACACTGAAGTCCAATGCTTACACGGAAGGCTGTCGTGACATAAGAAGAGGCCCTGGAGCTCTGGCCATTCAGTCAACAATATTAAGTACTCTTAGTGTTCTAAATGCTTCCAGGGGGGCTGATTTTCTCAACACACGAAGATGAGTTTTATAGCTGGCATAGCAGGGCTCATTTACATTTTCATCATGCTGGGGGGAGAGGGGGTGAGGGATGCCATTCCCCAATATAACCTGCGGGATTTTTGGTGTATATTTTTAGCTTTCTTTGGATAAACGAGAGATGCTGCTGTTAGAAACTCTGAAGGTGAAACGGATCATCCTTGAGCCCATCCCTGCTTCTCTGAGGTTGCCCATTGCTGTCAGTTGCTACTGGTTGCAGCATCCGGATGTCAAGGCCACACCACATCATGTACAGGCCTTATTGCTGGGGATGCTGGTGGGGCCCTTGCAGGCCATAATCCACAATCCTGGTAGGTATCGGGAAGCTCCAGGATTATGCTATATGCTTATGTCTGCTTGCGTGTATATACTCCAAGGTGACAACATAAAAGAGAAGGAAAACGGGCATCCAAGTATCACTCACTTGTTGATAACTATTTTTGCACAGAATATCTGCCGACAGCGCCAGGCCTCATGCTGAAGGATTTGACTAGAACCAAATACCAGTGAAGAGGTGCTGGTTCAGCCTCATCCGCCTGCTTTGCTTTGTAAAGTGTCCGACGTGTGTTTGCCAGTTGAATTTTATATTACACGTTCCTTATCCTAGCATCAACACAGACACATCATCATCATAACTTATTTAAAATTGCCCATTGGAGAAACAGTTGAGTACCTACAACTACCATAATCATTCATGTGTGTGGTGGTTTCTGCTTACATATCGGAGGCCCGGTGGCACTGTGGGTTGAGTGTTAGGCTGCTTACAGAAAGGGTGCTAGTTAAACCCACCAGCCACTCATCAGGAGAAAGCAGAGGCTGTGTGCTCCCATGGAGATTTACAGTCTTAGGCACCCTGTGGGTCACTTGTGCCTTGTCTTACAGGGTCAGCATAGGTTGAGATCCACTCAGTGGCAGTGGACCTTATTATTCCTTTTCTTCCACTGTACATTTCAGATAGTATGTAAGTAGTGACAGTAGCGAAGTCTTGGGGTGGTGCTGTAGGTAAGCACTGGACTGCTAACAGCAAGGTCAGTGCTTCAGACCCACCAGCTACTCTTCATAAACTGTATACAGGGTCACTATGAGTTGAAAGGAACTCGACAGCACTTAACAACAATGACAGTAGAAATAGTAACTTCTATTTCTCGTGAAGAAGTTCACTTTGAAGCAGTTTCATCTGTGTTTAAATGTCACATGAAGTAAATGTGCAGGCATCGGAGTTCTTCAGTTCTCTTATGGAATCACTGTCTTGAAAGGATTCTGAATGCTACAGCACTTTATCTAAACATAAAAGTTATACTCTAAAACAAGACTAATATGGCAGCAACCAGATGGCAGCAAACACAAGGTCAGCAGTTCAAACTCCCCAGCCATTCCTCAGCAACTCTATTCAGTGTCTCTATGAGTCGGAACCAACTTCACGGCACTTAACAACTACGACAACAATAACAAGGCATGTGTGGTTCTGAAAATGTAAATGGATTACAATAAAACTAGAAAATCAACTTCAAAGGTGCAGTAGCCACATTTCAAGTGCTTAGTAGCAACATGTGGGTAGAACCTACTGTATTGGACAGCACAGATGCAGGGCCTTTCCATCACTGCAGAAAGTCCTACAAAACAGCACTACTGTAGCATTTCCTTTTCCAAATCAGTTCAATAAAAGAAAGAAGTGGTGTGAACTGTCTTAGTTATCTAGTGCTGCTATCACAGATAAACAGGTGGACGGTTCTAACAAACACATTTGGGCTCTCACAGTTTAAGAGGCTAGAAGTGTGAATTTCAGGGTGGCTTCCTGTGATAAGCACTGAACTGCAAACCACGGGGTCCGTGGTTCAAGCCCACCAGCCACTCCGTGGGAGAAAGATGAGGTTTTCTACTGTGAAGTTTTAAAGCTTCAGAAACCCTACACAGGGTGGTGATGTGTCAGAATTGACACGACAATCACAAGTTCTAGGGGAAGACTTTGGGCTCTAGGAGAAGATTCTTGCCATCAGCGTTCCTGTGTGTCTGGGATTTGCTCAGCACAGGGATCCCAGGCCAAGTCCCAGCTCTTGTTGGTGGTAGAAGGTCCCTCTCTCTCTACTCTAGTCTCCACTAGCTCCCCTTACAGTGGGTCAGGGTTGTGACTTGAGTAAGGGTGTTGCATCCCACCTTAATTCTCTTACAGCATAGATCACATCAAGGGAGATTATTATGTAACTGCCAAATTACATCATTATGTTGGTGTTGGTAGGTGCTATCAAATCAGTCCTGACCCATTGCAACCCTGTGTACAACACAATGAAACACTGCCCAGGCCTGTGCCATCTTCACAGTTGCTGTTACACTTGAACCCACTGTGCCAATCCATATCATTAGGGGCCTCCCTCTTTTTCACTGTCTGTCCACTTTACCAAACATGATGTCCTTCTCCAGGGCTTGGTCCCTCCTGATAACAAATCCAAACAAAGTATGAGGCATGAAGTCTGGTCATCTTGGCTTCTAAAGAGCATTCTGATTGTACGTTTTCCACACAAATTTATTTGTTCTTCTGGCATTTATGGTACTTTTAATGTTCTTCTCCAACACAGTAACTTAAATGCATGAATTCTGTAGTCTTCCTTATTCATTGTCCAACTTTCCCATGCATATGAGGTATTTGAAAATACCATGTCTTGGGTCAGGTGCACCTTAGTTCTCAAACTGTCATCTTTGCTCTTGAAGTCTTGTGCAGCAGAATTGCCCAATGTAATATGTCATTTGACTTATTGACTGCTGCTTTCATGAATGTTGATGGTGGATCTGAGCAAAGTGAAGTCTTTGACAACTTCAGTCTTTTAACCGTTTATGTCATTTATTGGTCCAGTTGTGAAGATTTTTGTTTTCTTCACATTAGGTGCAACCCATATCAAAGACTAAGGTGTTTGATTTCCATCAGTAAGTACTTTAAGTCCTCTTTGCTTTCCAGCAAGGAAGGTTATATCTTCTGCATGTTAATGAGCGTTCTTCCAGTCGTGATGCCATGTTCTTCTTCATACAATCCAGTTTCTCAGATTATTTGCTTAGCATGAAAACTGAGTAAGTATGGTGAAAGACTACAACCCTGGCACACACCTTTCCTGATTTGAAATCATTCCATGATTCTGTTGGCACAACTGCCTCTTGGTCTGTGGACAGGTTCCTCATGAGCACAATTAAGTGTTCTGGAATACTCGTTCTCCACAGTGTTGTCAATAGCTTCTCATGATCCATACAGTCGAAATCCTTTGCATAGTCAATAAAGCAGTTACACATCTTTCTGGTATTCTGTGCTTTCAGCCAAGATCTAGTTGATACCAGCAGTGATACTCCTTGTACCATGACCTTGTCTGAATCCAGCTTGAACCTCTGTCTGACAATTCCCTGTCAATGTACCATTGAAGCAGTTTTTTAATATCTTAAACAAATTTTACTTGCATGTGATATTAATGATATTGTCCTATGATTTCCACATTCTGCTAAGGAGCTCTGGTAGCTTAGTGGTTACAAATCAGTCTGCTAACCTCAAGGTCAGCAGTTTGAAACTATCAGCTGTTCTGCAAGAAAAAGATGAGGCTTTCTGCGCCCATAAAGATTTGCAGCCTCGGAAACCCTGTGCAGGGTCATTATGAGTCGGAACCGACTCCACAGTACTTAACAACACCCTCTCTTTGGAATGGGCACAAATATGGATCGCTTACCAATCATGTAGCCAGGTAGCTGTCTTCCAAAGTATCGGCATAGATGAGTGAGTGCCTGCAGTGCGGAATCAAGTTTATTAAAAGATTTCAATTTGTATTCCATTAATTCCTGAAGCCTTGTTCTTTGCCAGTGCCTTCAATGCAACTTGGCTCTTGATCATATGCTACCTCTTGAAATGGTTGAAAACTGACCATTTCTTTTTGGTACAGTGACCCTGTGTATTCCTTCCTCTGTCTTTTAATGTTTTCTGCCATCATTATGTCCAAAGACTCCTTCAGTATTTCAAGTCAAATCTTGAATTTTTTCCTGTTCTTTCACAATGAGAAATACCGAGTATGTGGTTCCCTTTTGGTTTTCTAACTCCAGATCTTTTCACATTTCTTCTTGAGCTGCCCTTTCAAATTTTTCTGCTCAGCTCTTTTACCTACTCATTTCTTCCATTTGCTTTAGCAATGGAGAGCAACTTCCTGCGTGTCTTCTGACATCCATTTTGGTCTTTTCTTTCTTTCTTGTTTTCTTAATGCCTTTTTGCTTTCTTCCTGTATGATTTTTTTTTCTTAAATGTTTTATTGTGAATTATGTAATCATTTACATGGGAGAACTTTAATTTTACATTAATTCTATCGTATATTGTCTCATTGCAATGGTTACAATCCCCTCCATGCATCATCAACCAACCAAAGGGTATTCCCTGCAATCCTTCCCCCCCATACCCCCCAGATCTTCAGCACACGGTCACTCTTCCTCTCTGGATCTAAAGTCCCCAGCTGCTCCATCGCTCCACATCATCTCTGCCTCCATTTCAGGCATCACTGCTTCTCTGGGTAGGGTCCTGCTCTCTGCTCCTAGACTGAAAACTTAATCACTTTCCTTGCTATAAAATGTCTACCTTTACATTTCCAACCCTCACAATCAGTCCTGATAACAATTATTCACTACTGTATCCCAAGAGACCCGTCTGCATTTCATTGCATCAGCCCCACCTAGACAGA